TTGTACACGGGACTAGCTTTTACATAAGCACCAAGCAAAAACATGCATTTTTAGCAACTCAATTTCCTTTTTTAAAATCATCGAATGCGAAGCAGCAACTCCAGGGGTAAGATCAACTCATGTCCTTAGTTTCTGGAAAGAATAAGTGTGCAGAGTAAGGTGGTGGTCCTCACTTCCCAAGGATTTGGGTCACCGTTAAGATTATATCCAGGGCAATTAAATCATCACCTTGTGAGGGTATGGCTCTGCTTCCCACTCCAGCTTCCTGATACTGTCCTCTCCTTTTGGAGACATTTATTTATCTGAGTGATGGAGTGAGAGCCAGAAAGAGAAGCCTTTCACTCACTGTTTCACTTCTCAATTTCCTGCAGCAGGAGGGAATGAGTTAGGATGAAGTTTGAAGTCAAGAATTTCATCCAAGTCTCCCTTCTTGGTGGCAGAATTCACGTCCTTTATTTTTTTAAAGATTTATTTATTTTTGTTGGAAAGGTGGATATAAGAGAGGAGGAGAGACAGAGAGGAAGATCTTCCATCTGATGATTCACTCCCCAAGTGGCTGCAACGGCCGGAGCTGAGCTAATCCGAAACCAGGAGCCAGACGCTTCTTTTAGGTCTCCCACATGGCTGCAGGGTCCCAAGACTTTGGGCTGTCCTCGATTGCTTTTCCAGACCACAAGCAGGGAGCTGGATGGGAAGCAGGGTCACTGGGATTAGAACCGGTGCCCATATGGGATCCCAGCACATTCAAGGAGAGGACTTTAGGCATTAGACTACTGCACCGGGTCCGCGAATTCAAAGTTTTATAGTGTTGCTCTGCATTCCCTTCTCTCTGCTTATGGATTGAAGCAAGGTGAAAGAGAAAGCAATCAACAGTCCTTCTGTAAATGAGAAGCACTTGGATGAGGCCAGTGAAAGCTGTTGAGGACAAAGCTCTGAGAATGGGCCTTGTGGATCTTTCCTTGTTAGACACAGGAGACAGAGCGGTTTACTTCAAACGACACTATGTGAATTGTTCAAGGTTTTGTGGGAGAATATTGCATTTCATTCGAATATATATATGTGTACATGCATACACATATCTCTTTTTCTAAAGTGTCACAGTGAATAAAACAAAGTGACACTAACATGCTATGTTCATAGTCACTCAATAAGGGGCCGCTGGAAACTTGGAGTGGATTAAACCACCACTTGGAACACGGTCTCCCATAGCGGAGTGCCTGGGATGGAATCTGGTCTCCCTTTCTGTTCCAGCATTTTTCTAATGTGCACCCTGGGCAGTGGCAGGTGATGACCCAGGGTTTTGGACCCCTTCCATTGTTGTAGGAAACACAAAAGCATCTCCTAGCTCCTGGTTTCAGTCTGAACCAGCCATGGCTTGGGGGAAGACAGCCATTAGAAGACAGGAAATCTCTCTGCCTTGGTTTGTCCCTCCCTCTCTGTACTCATTCATTCTCCTTGTTGCTCTGCTTTTCAAATACATAAAACAAATTTTTAATAAATTAAATCAAAGCTTACATAGTAAGTAACAAGGAAGCTGAACACAAACCTCAGGTTCAGTGGCTACATTCTTGCCTAGCAGGTGTCAGAATCTGATAATGGCACTGGTTCACGTCCCAGCTGCTCCACTTCCCTTCCAGCTCCCTGCATGTAGCTGGGAGAGCAGAGGAGGACGGCCCAAAGCCTTGGGACCCTGCACCCATGAGAGAGACCTGGAAGAGGCTCTGGCCCCTAGCTTCGGATTGGCTCAGTCTCAGCCTTTGTGGCTACTTGGGGAGTGAGCCAGCAGACAGAAGATCTTTCTCTGCTTCTTCTTCTCTCTGAAAATCTGCCTTTGCTAAGAAACCAAATCAATATTAAAAAAAAATGTTCTGGCCCCCTGAGACTTATTCTTGTCCTGAACATCCATGTTCACAAAAACCTATGGACCATCCTATGTTCTAATGTGCTGAGAACATTCTGAGATCATGTGAGTCTCACTGACGGGCAATGGGATTGCTTTGCAGCTGGCAATAAATACAGCTGCTAAGTGAATCAACAGATTCATTTCAAGGAAAAGAAGCATCAGACTAGAATGGTCCACAGGTGACGTTAAACACGACATAACAAAAAAATGTAACCTTTTATAGAAGCGTACGATATTATACATCTAGAGTCTTCCTCATCACTGTGTCAACTACCCCCAAAGGAAATCACCGACCGTTAGCTCTAACTGACTTCAAAATAAGTCAGCTAGGTGTCCTGGCAGGTGCAGGAGGCACCTCTGATTCGCGGAAGACACACACTGCAGGTGAACGCCCTCCTCCCGGCTGCAGCTGTGGTAAGGATCCTGCAGAGAAGTGGCAGCCAGGTCCTGGACTCCCCACAGCAGGTAGTCAATAACTAGAATCACACACGGACAGCTCATTGCTTCCTGGGTTTGCCTCACTCCTGGCTTGTGCAACCCATGGCTTTTACCTTCTGATTGGGCTTCAATTACTTTCCTATCTCCACTGGGCATTCAAGGGAGACAAGAACCCCTGGTTAGTCCACATTATAATTGGGAGATATGTGTCAGAATGCCCCGTGAAAGCCTGAAGTTAAGACAGCATCAAATCCTAAACTTACTCACGTATTGTTTCCTCTCTTATACACACAACTCACAAAGTTGGTGGTAAATTAAACCTATTTAGATGCTTATTTTTTTATGCAAAAAACTTAAAAATCATTTGTGTAACATTTTTTAATATGTGTTTTCCACAGACTTTTGTAAGAGCTCTCATATCCATTTCTATTTTAATACTGAATGCATATTTAACATGTTTTAAAACTTCATCTTTTGATTTCATTTAATGAACATTTAATTTATCATTTTTTATCATAGGCACTAAAGGTTTTAGACATTTGAGTAATAGGCCCAGGTGACAGTGCAGGAGAAGGGAAGTTTCCCCCTCATCCTGTAAGGGTTCCTAACCAAGATTTCCTAGGAGAAAAGTCATATACATGTATTAACATCCAAAGCAGAGTTACTCCCAGCATCAGGAAGACTCACATGGGTGATTTTCCACACAGCTTAACATTATTCAGGAACAAATATGCCCTTCGTATAAGCAGTGGGAGAGAATGGAAACATTCTTGAGAGCTTGGGATGGAGATGGGGGAAACGATTTTTTCCCCAGAGAAGATCTCCTTAAAATCTGAATGGGGCCAAGAGACAGACATCAAACTGCAGTGAAAACCGGGCCAGATACAATTCCAGGTCGTAGTCTTTTCTAAGACAGAAAAACAAAACAAAACCCCACAGAGTGTCAGGGTGAGGCTGGCAGGAAACTCTGCTTCCTTTTGCAAATTTGTTGGAATATAGGGTGATCCCACAGAGAGACTTCCCCTACTACTGATGGGAAGCGCAACGAAAATAGAATTAAAGCTTGCGTTTTTCTTTAGACATCATTCAGGATTCTAGTCAAAAAGCCCATATTTGGATATCATTCTTCTGAATCCCCAAATTGGCAAGTCTTTGAACAAGTGCTTATTGTCAGCCTGGTGTTGGAGGTCACCTTATGTAAAGGTTTGCACATCGCAAATTCATGCATTTAGCAACATGGCATGCAGTATTGTCAGCGTCCAAACACTTCTCTGGTTGGAAAATCAAAAGAATAGGATTTCTTTTCTAATATGCGCGTGCAAATCAAGACCTGCCAAAATTATCTCACTCTGCTTTCCTAACAATTTTGAAAATGTTGATGCACATTTCATAAAGAAAAACAAAATTAACATCAGGATAAGTCTTCAGCAATACACACACACAAAAGGAAAACTTGGATTTGATTGTAGAACTCCAAACCACGGTGTTGTTTTTACTGTATCATGGGAACCCTGGTCCTGATACAGATGGAAAGAAACGTGCATCACGTGTTTCCACAGCAAGGTTTCTTGGGGCAACACTGCAAGATTATGTACCAAATGGTCAATCCATTGATAAAACTGTGTCATCTCTATTGAGTATGTATTCTGAGTATTCTGGAGAACGTGTTGCAGGGAGCTGGGGGGAGGGATAAGCAATGTAGATTATTCGATAGCAGTTCCTGAATCCTGCCTTTTGAGTTCTCTAGATAGATGCATAGATGATAGTTCAATAGTCGTTATTTTTATTGGAAAGGCAGATTTGCACTGAGGAGAGACAGAGAAAGACTCGCCATACACTGGTTCACATCCCAAATGCCTCAATGTCCAAAGCTGAGCTGATCTGAACTCAGGAACCAGGAACTTCATTCTGGTTTCCCATGTGAAGGCAGAGTCAAAAGGCTTTAGGTCATGCGTCACTGTTTTGCCAGGCCATAAGCAAGGAGGTGGATAGTAAGTGGAGCAACAGGGTCATGAACCAGTAGCTATATGGGATCCCAATGCTTGCAGTTGGAGGATTAGTCATCTGGGCATCTGTGCTGCCCTTCATATCACTTTTAATTATAGACTTCTTCTCTTTTAAAAGAATCTTTTATCTATTTTATTGGAACATTGGATTTAGAGAAAGGAGAGATGGAGAAAAAGATTTTCCGTCTGCTGCTTCACTTTCCATGTGGCTGCAATGGCTGCAGCTGAGCCGATCCAAAGCCAGGAGCCATGAGCATCTTCTGGGTCTCCCACATGGGTGCAGGATCCCAAGGTTTTGGGCCATCTTTGACTGTCATCCCAGGCCACAAGCAAGGAACAGGATGGGAAGTGGAGTAGTCAGGACATGAACTGGCACCCCCATGGGATCCCAGTGCATGCCATGTGAGGACTCTAGCTACTAGGCCATTGCTCCGGGCCCAACAATAGATTTTTAAGCACTAGACATCTATTTAGTTTTAGACTTAATTCTGTTATGTTAACGTGTATACTGTTATATTTGTTCCAATTTAGAACAGTTATGATAGGAGGAGATGAAACAGACTGAAAATGAACTTGCCACTGAGTAACATGTAGAAAGGGTAATTGTAAAGGTGACCTTGCTCCTGGAAGTCTGGAATCTCCAAAGAGACACCTGCATCCTGTTACAGGAAAAAGCTCCTGCTTCCTGAAACAACAGGAGGCAGACAGGAAATAGGGAGAATCTTGGAGTTTTTAGATTTATGGGAAAGACAGCTACCTGTGAAGCATGCTGTCTTATTACTGCCTGCATTGAAGTGATGTGATCAGAACCCCCAACCTATACATTGTAAATTCCTATTGCATGTTTTCTGTTTTGTGTCACTCTTACCCCCCCTAATCATGTACTTGCTTACTGTCCCGTAGCTTTTGATTCTCTGATAGATAGTTCCTGTAAAAAACCCACACTTATTTTGTTATTTCATTCAGGGTGCTTCTTGCTTATGGCAGGAGGTTGCACCTGGACTACACATTAAAATCATTTCGCTCGCCTTGGAGTCTCCCTCGGATTCTTTAAACCTCAACAACTGGCGCCCAATGGACCAGCTTTGTGCTGCAGTTAATGAAGCTGCAATGGTGATATCCCCTAGCGTAAGACCTGTTTAGATCTCAGCTATTCTGCAATCCAACCAGCTTCCTGCTGATGAGCCTGGAAAGGCAGCAGAATATGGCTCAGGTACCTAACAGGCTTCCCTAACACTGCAACCCTTCGGTGGCGAGCTTTGCACAGCAGATGTACAAGCTCTGTTGATGTGTTGATCTAGTGTCACTGCTATAACATCAGTCCTGAAGAAGGCTATTTTAAAGAAACAGACGTCCGTTTCTCACACCCAAATGCTTGCAGGATCCGAATTCTGCAACATTCCTCCATGAATTGTTTGAGAGACTTAAGCTCTACAATCCCTCTTGTGCCCTCAAAACAATGTGCTGCATCCTATCTCCTGCTTCCCCTGCCCCACTATGTCTTTTGGGCTTTTCATTCTTTTCTAAGTTTCTAAGCTGAGTAGTGTCATGTCATGGTCAGCGAGTGCAAGCATCCTGACCACCAGGACAGCAAAGCTGGCCAGGGTTCTGGTTAGCAACGTCTCACCAGTAAAAGCCCTTTCTTCCTGAAGCTTCTGTTCACAATCGCCATGTCATCCTTGCACACCATACCAGCCCAGCCTGACTGTAGACACTCAGCTTGTTTTCCTCAATTAACACTCTTGCTCGATATTGTCTACTGGCCAAACCGTCTAGAGCATCTCAATTTCCAATGGATTTTTTTTTTTTTAAAGATTTATTTTTATTATTTTTTCATTGGAAAGGCGGATATACAGAGAGGAGAGACAGAGAGGAAGATCTTCCGTCCGATGCACTCCCCAAGTGAGCGCAACGGGCCGATACTATGCCGATCCGAAGCCAGGAGCCTCTTCCGGGTCAATGGATTTTTAAAAAACGAACCTTCAAATTGTGAGAGAAAGAGCCTCCACTCCTCAGGCCCAAGTTACTGTTTTGGGCTGCTGATCCTCCCAGACACGCGTTCTTCTTTAGTCATGCTGAGTTTTGCTTCACTTGCAAAGAAAAGAACTTGTTTTGTTATGTGTGGTTGGTTCCCTGCCGACCCAATTCCTTCCTCCAGCAATGCTTGGCTTCTACCTTGTGTATTCTGACACGGCCTAGTCTACAGGTCCTCTCCTTTGGGGCCCTTCCTGAGGCAGTTCCTTTCATTTCCCACATTTCCCACGTAATTCAACTGAGAGGTAGAGAGATGGAAAGAGAGAGAGAGAGCTTCCATGTGCTGTTTTACTCCCCAGATGTTGACAGTGATCATGACTGTGCCAAATCCAAGCCAAGAGCTGATGAGTCAGGCAGTAGAAAGCAGGGAATCCAGTGCTTGAGCTGTCCCTGCTGCTTCCAGAGGCTGCATAAGCAGCAGGTGAATTAAGATGATCTGGAAAGATTTTGTAGAAATAGAAAAAGAGGGATGGAAATTGGGCACACCAGTGGAGCTCACAGCAAAGACCCTCGGGTCCCATGGTGAAGTACAGGGATTTAACAGAAGCCTCCTGTTGAAACACCAACAGTACAAGATCTACCAGACAGAAATTCTAATTTCCTAATAAAATCTGAAGTGCTAACTTTGTGTATAAATTTCATCTTCCCATTAGTTTTTTATGAATCTAAAGAATATTTATCACCCATTGTACTATGAAAAATCCCCCAAACGTATATGGATCATTTAAAAAATTTTTACTAGCGTAGACTACTATTTTAAAGTACATGATCCACTTTAGAGTTCATTTCATTTTAAAATCTTATATCGGGCCCGGCGCGGTGGCGCAGTGGTTAAGGTCCTTGCCTTGCACGCCTGGGATCCCATATGGGCGCCGGTTCTAATCCCGGCAGCCCCGCTTCCCTTCCAGCTCCCTGCCTGTGGCCCGGGAAGGCAGTCGAGGATGGCCCAAAGCTTTGGGACCCTGTACCCGTGTGGGAGACCCGGAAGAGTCTCCTGGCTTCGGATCGGCATAGCATCGGCCGTTGCGCTCACTTGGGGAATGAATCATCAGACGGAAGATCTTCCTCTCTGTCTCTCCTCTCTGTATATCTGCCTTTCCAATAAAAACATAATAAAAATAAATGTTTAAAAAAAATCTTATGTCTAAATGTTTTGCACCAAACCATACTTATTGTCATGCATTTTCCACGAACTTGTTGAGGCCCCCCATGTGTGCACACACGTTAATTTCACATTCCTGGAACATCTGATCTTTCTACAATCAAAGGATTCACAAACTCCATACTTGTATCTTGAATAAAGTGATCAGATGTTGCATTTAAAGTGACTAAACGTCGCATCCCTAATCAGAACGCCTCTGTCGTCTTGTGCCATAGGCCCACTCCCAAGGGATCTGTATCATCTATCAAAGATGGGAATTAACAATCAATATGGTGGGTATGATGATTCTTTCGGCCAGATTACACATTTCTTGTTGTGAAAGTAGGTGACAGAACCCAGCGTTGCGGCTTCTGTCCATGACACCACAGGAGACTCTGCATCCAGTACTGGAGTGCCTGGTTCAAGTCCAGGCTCTGCTCCTCATCCCGGCTTGCCACTATGGGAGGCCAGCCATCAAAGGCACAAGAGCTTGGGTGCCTGCACGTACATGGGACAGCTGGCTTGGGTTCCGAGTCCCTTTGGCCTGGCCCAGACATAGCTATTGTAAGCACTGGGGTAGTGAAACCACAACTTGGAGCTTACTGTCTGTATGTGTGTGCCCCTCTGTCCTTCAAGAAAATTGTTTTAAAATGCACGAGGTGAGGATATTTACGCCAGATTTTCAATATTCCTTATATTTTGATCAGCTAGTGTATAGCCACCTAGTACATTGTAGAACGTTTTAAATAAATGATTTTAGCTGAAAACACTAAACTTAACACATTCTTATAACAGATAATTTTGTGCTTTTAGAACAGCATATTGAAGCCTAGTGGCTTATAAAAAGCAGATTCTCTTCACAGTGACAGAAACTGGAAAGTCGAATTAACAAAGCAAATTCACTGTGGCTGCGGGGAGAAGAGGCAAAGAACTTGCTGGAATATCCTTCATAAGCATATTCATTCATGAAGGCACCAGCCTCGTGATGTATCTGCCCCACCCCATGCACACCATTCCTTCTCCCGATCTCATCACATCAGTGACTCGGTTCAGCAACATGGATTTCATGGGAACAAAACGATACAGATTCAACAGCAATTAGATAAAACATTATTTACTGGAAACACATGCACAGATGAGACACAAAGCAGGAAGTAAAGTAAGTTGAGCAACTAAGACATTATCAGTTTCCACTGAGATTTGAACTACTCTTTATCAACAATTTTCCTAAAGCTGATTCATTTCTTAAAAGTCATTCTTCCAGTCAAACACCCGATAACCTTTGAGAGGCTGTTGCTTGCATTCTTTTGTGTTTCGTTTATTTTTTGTTGTTTTGTTTTCAGTTCAATTCACTGAGATGTGATACTAAACTTGTCCAGAACAGAAACATAGGTTTTCACCCAAATATTGAACAGAGAAACTTAAGATTTAGGGAAGATGTACATTCTGGGTTATGTACTTGCATTGTTTTCCTTGGTTATTTCTTACACACACACACACACACGTTTCTTATTTGAGTTTATCTCAGCGTCGTATTCCTTTGATTTATTGATCTGATTATTTATTCATTTGTTTTCATCTACTCCCAAGGTGAGAGTCACACACACACACACACACACACACACTGCGCTCTCCCTTTTTCTGGGCTACCCTTTCCTCTGTGGTTTCATCTCTACTTCTGCCTCTTCCTTCCTGAGATTCCTTCGCTCCGTGTCCCCAAATGGTGTTTACCTTTCTTGACCCCCATTTCCCGCTAACATGCCTTTCTCGCACCTTCCTCCAACCATGTCAGTGCCTTCCGCGAAGACATGTCCCGGTTCTATACATACACAGTCTTCGGCTGACACCTAATAGCCATTATTCTGGGAGAAAGAAAGGAACGATGAAGAAGAGGGAGAGTGGGAAGGGAAGGAAGGAAGGAAGGAAGAAATCAAAGAATTCAGCCAAAACCCCTTTCTACAATACTGCATGAATCAAGATCCACTCGAAATCAATTGTAAGAGATGGGCAGGCACATTAAAGAAGCAATAAAGAAAATAAAGTGAGTCTGGCTTTCACAGTGCCCAGTAGACAAACAAAAATGCTCTGTTCGTTCAGTGCTGTTCTTGAAGCAGAAATGCTGATTGCAAGCCTGACATTTGTTAGAGGCCCAGGCGAGCTGCCGACAGAAAGGGGGTGTAGCCCACAGCACCCATTAGGGAAGGCTGGAAATGGGGCAAGGCAGCCACATAAGTATGGGCTAGAGTAGCTTTCCTAATGAATAAAATATGAAGGACTTCGCGATTATCCAACCAGAGAGAAGTGGCCAGAGCATCATCAGCATCATGATAGCAATAAAAACAGGATTTTGTGCTGTATCGCCTACCTCACATTCCCAATCTGAATAGCATGCATGACCCGCCCTCCTCTTTATGCTTATTCCTAGGCTATGTAAGTAAAAAATCAGGCAAGGCTAGACTTCCTGCCTGCAAGGATTTTCTGTTCCCTGATAACCCACAAAGGTCATTTAATTATTCTGAAAAATATTCTACATTCAGAAAACACATGAGAGCGGTTGTTTTGATTTTTTTTTGTGCCAAACTTCTCCATTTAAAACAACAGTTTACATAGTAAAAATCAGATTAGATGGCCAATTGATGTAACTGATTAATTCCATGTATAGTAGGGAGTAATTTCTAAAAAAAAAAAATCACAAAATATTAGCTAGTATTTACTTAGAGTTACAAGTACTAGTTGATGTTTACACATCACACAGGTGGCAGACAGAAGGAAATGTAGCGAGAAATCTTAGATACCGAGAGGCAGAGAGAAGTCGAGTAGGTAAAAGCGATCCACTTAAAGACGATCAGCAGACAGCATACATTCAACCTGTATTAAGATCGCAGCAATTACTTGCATGGTTGGTTGTACCTATTAAGCGTGCATTTGCACACACGCACAAATCTCCCTGCACCAAAGCCCTGTCCTCTTTGAATGTTGCAAGGATACAAACACTCTCAATGAGGACATGAGCAGTTTATACCAAGGGGCCTTCTCCTTCAAAAACATATGTAGCTCTGCGTCTCAAAGCCAGGCATGTAGATTTTTAGACCTCCATTCTCCAAGGAGTTGCTTTACTGTAATCCCAAGGGGAAAAAAAAAAACAACTAAGTGATTGACTATACCATAGTATGCTGCATTATCACTCGACTCTGAGTGACTCTAGCAAACCTGTTTCTTTCTTCCCAGTAGAGTGAACTACTAACCAAGGCTGCTGCGTGGGATCTCAGTCAACAGGAACAAGTCAATTAAAAAGTCCTCCAACGGACACAGACAGCTAATGCACTCTTGGATGCTCCAGAATCAAATTAGAGAAATGAGCACACTGCACAATGGAAACACCACATGAACACGGAACGCCTCTGTGTGTTCATAGGTTTCTAGGACAGTGTGATCAAGTAATGGGATTCATTTCCAACTCTGTGGAAAATGTCTCCAGAGGGAAGGGACTGTTTTATCCTAGCTATATTTTTGTTTCTGAAATGGTGAATAATGATCATATTCCACCCAATACAATAGTTGACATTTTTTCTTAGCAAGTTCTATCATAATTTTTGGCCTGACTATGGAAGATACACTGATCAGCCCAACAAGGATATGCTATTGGCTGGAATATTCCTTGCAATTTCAGCGATATTAAAAATCCTAGATGAAATTCGTTCCAACTCTTTTGAAATACTGATAAGTAGTTAAAAAGCTCGCCATTCATTTTACTTTCATGAATTGCCTTTTAAAAATCAAGCCAGGTGGGTCCTGGGTCACCTGGTCCAGGTCCTTTAGCCCACCTGTGCAGTGGGTGCTAGATCTGTGAGACCCAGGGTTGGGGGGTATGGAAGCGCCTAAGCCTCCTGGTCCAGATCCCTGTGCCTGCCTGCATGGTGGGTGCTGGGTCTGACAGCCCCAGGGGTGGGTGGAGGGGCTTAAGTTGCCTGGCTGAGGTCCATGAGCCAACCCAAGAGAACTGGTCTTCCTCAGTGTGAAGGATAGAGTGCTGGACTCCAGGCCATGATGTACATAGAAGACATGGTAACCCACTGGCTCCTGCGAAGCACATTTGAAGCCATAGCAGAAAATGGAGAACGGAATATACGGACAAGCCAGGAAATGGTCTAATATTGGTTGGCTCTTTGTTGTACTTGTAACAACAACGAAGGATAATGCTGTGGCTGGTATATGGCTCAACATGTTAAGCTGCCACCTGCATCACGGACATCTCTATGGGCACTGATTTATGTCCTGGCTTTTCCAATTCTGATCCAGCTCCTGGCTTAATGGCTATGAAAGGCAGTGGAAGATGATCTAAGAACTTGAACCCCTGCACTCACATGAATGACCTCAGTGAGACTCCTGGCTGTTAGGTCTTGGTTTTTACTCCTGGTTCATTCTTGGTTTTTACTCCTGCCCTTTCTCTTGTTCTCATTTCCTGCCTCTCCTCTAACAACGTATACGAAAGGAAGGGATCACATTAAAGACATCGGGATTCTATTCGTTTCTGTTAGTTGAGCACTTCTATTTTTTTAGTCAAAGATTTAAATAAGCATTTCATAAAAAAATAAAAAAGGAAGACTAGGTAGAGTTCTCAACCAAAAACACGTACGTGTGCACTGATTTTGAAGGGCCTTGAAATTATCTGAAGCTCTTCAAAGTAGATACAGAGGAGCTAATGATGCTATAGTTGATGGGATGAATACGGCACAGTGTGGCTTCTCATGGAGGTACAGAAAAGACTGGTCAAGTCCTGTTGTTCATGGATTGTGAATTTAGGACAATTTCAATGTTTCCTAGCAGTTTCAAAAGTTCTCCTCTTGCATATGAGCTAATCAAATGAGGACGCCATCTCAGGACTCTAAGGATACTTGGATTTCAACACTAGCCCACATGCAATATTGAACTTGCATATTGGTTCCAAATTGTTCTTGAACCTCATTTTGGTTCATGAAAATTCATTAAGATCATTTTTTTCTGGTATGAGAATATGAAATGGGATCATTCGAAAGAGATGAAGGGACTTGGAAACATTTTAGAGTTTTTAATCCAATGTGTCAGTACCTCAATTTTAAATGTTGCCTCTTTAATAAGTCTTCCTTTTACTGGCTTACCCTCTGCTATCACTTGTTTGGGATTTAATTTCAAAAATGTGTATGTAATACAAATATACATTATGAGATACATTGCTTTTAAAAAGGAACAATTTTACTGATATCCACTCATTTATTTGAATTATTATGATATTTTATAAGAGTGTGAATATACCACAAATGAGTAATAGAACTGATTTAGCAATCAAATCTAACAACAAAGAAGTCTTGGACAGCATAAAATATTTTGAAAAGGATTAATAGCAATTCTTCTCAAACCCTTCCAAAAATTTATGGATGATGTAGTATTTCCTAACATATCCTATGAGGTAAATCTGAAACCAAAGAAAAAGACCAAGCAACATATAGACTAACATTCAGCATGGAGACAGATGAAAAAACCTTCCACAAAAATACTGAGAGTGAATTCTGTAACCTACTTATGAAATCATGCAACATGGTCAAGTGAGATTCCTTCCCTGTTTGTGAGGATGGTTCAACATATATAAAGCAATAAACACGACACACCACAGTAATAGAATGAAGAATCACAGCATACAATCATCTCAACAGATACACAAAAAGCATCTGACAAAAAGCAAACTTTTATGTTGAAAAACACAGAAGGAATGTGCCTCAACTCAATGAAGGTCATATGCAACAAACCTGTCTCTAATGTTGTGCTCAACTGGGAAAAATTTAAAGCTTTTTCTCTACACAAAGACCAAGATTAGCAGTGCGCACCTGCTCACCTCTATTCAGTTTACCACTGGATGTCTGACGTGGAATGACCAGAAGAAAAATAAGGAGATAAAAAGTATCCAGCTTAGAAATGAATAAAATTATATTTGCTGAAGACATCATTGTATAGAAAATTCTAAAGACTAGCAGAAAATCCTATCAGATTTAAAAAAAGTAAATATAGGATACCAAATTAACATGCAAAGAGTCATAGTTTTTCTATATAATAATTGCCTGAAAAAAAAAAAGAGAAAGAAAGCCCCAATTACAGTAGCATAAGCAAATGCTTAGGGAATGAATGGAACTAAGCAAATGAAATATCTGTTACCCAAAATGTCAATGACAGATTTTTAAAAACATATTTTATTTCATTTTACAATATAGTTCCAAAGGTTCTGGGGTTGCCTGTGCCCTTCCCCAGTGTCCCCCCATGTTCATTTTCCCAATAACAGACATTTTCAATGTCAAACATAAATAGGAGGCAGTCCTGTGTCTATGGGATGGAAAAATCCTTGTTGTTGAAATAGCCACCCTACCCAAGTTTGTCTACAGATTCAACACCATTACTGTCAACAATTTCTGACATTTTTCACAGAGAAAATGATTTAAAATTCATAGGGAATCATAAAAGAGCACAAATTGCCAAATCAAGCTTCAATAAGAAAAACAAAACTGGATATGTCACAAATCCTGCTTTGAAATACAAAGCTATTGTAAACAAAGTACTACAATATTAATTCAAAAGCAGACACACAGAGGAAAGACACAGACTACTGAGTGCAGACTGAATGCAGACGGTCAAATGGTTTTCAGAAAGAATGCCAGCAGCTTGGTGAGGAAGGGGTGACACTGCAGTGGAATAACAGATGCTGTAAAATTGGATGTGTATATGTAGGAGAATGACCATAGATTATTACTGCACATCACTCAGAGAAATTCATTCAAAGTGGGTTCCATACCTACACGTAGGCCTCGTGTTCATAAATCTCCCAGAAGAAAAGATTGGATGTAGGCTACTTGGCATAATCTGGGCCATATTTTTTAGATATTGACCCAAGAGCAGAGGTACCAAAATTACAAATGAGAGGATATCAAAACCTGGGCACAGCAGAAGAGGAAATCAGTGGCTCAGTGATTCGGGCTCTGTTCCGGAAGCCTGCTTTCCATCTCAGAGTGCTGGGGCTGGAATGTAGATCCTGAGAGACAGCAAGAACTGGCTTCATTGACGTGGGATGAGATTGGAGAGCTCCAGCCAAGACACGCAGCAAGAACTGGCTTAACTGATGTAGGATGAGATTGGAGAAGTCCAGCCAACACATGCAGCAAGAACTCCCACAGTATGGCAACAGACAGTGTGACCTGGCCTGAAGGACGCTCCATCCTGTTCCACTCACACCCTCTTTCTGCTAACAGTCCCTCCTCTTGTGCACCACCACACTCTCATCCTCAGCCTTCCCTTGAGTACAAACCATGATTTCTGCAGTGTATCAAGCACCAAGCCAGCACCAGCTGGTGCTGGAAACTTCCAAAATGCCTGAAGAATGTCTACCCATTATGACATTTAAGGTCTTTATAATGTCACTATGACATAATCATAATGGGATGCATTTCTGTTCTTACCAGACGTCTGATACCATTACATTTCTGATGCTTCTAAAAAAGGGCAGGGGCACAGAAATTGGTGATACCCAAGTCCCATGGCAAAGCTTACTCATCTCTGAACAGTCAGACATCACCCTCCGTGCTTCCTGATGATGTAAAGAACAGCAGAAACCTTATTGGTGTCTTTTTGTTTCTTCTTTCTTTGGACCTTGTCCATGTTTACTTATTGAGAATGTGCTTTTCCTGTGCCTTTAAATAAATCCTACTTATCTGCATAATCATTTTTTTTTTTATCCCAGGGAAGAACCCGGGATAAGCTATTCTTGGGGCCTGTGTTCCACAACACACATATTTGAATCCCCTCCACTCATGTGGGACACCTGGACTGGGTTTCTATTATCTTTATTTTCTCATCCCCAGTCTTGCGTATTGTAGTGTTTTGGACAAGTGAATAACACATGGACAGTCTCTCTGTCTGTCTGCTTCTCAGAAAGAGAGAGAGAGAGAGAGAGAGAGAGAGAGAGAGAATCATAAGAGTATAGGGAAAACTTAAGGAAAGAAAGAAATATTGGTAAACCGTACATCTGATAATACATTAATACCCAAAACAGACATGGGCCTCAAGCATTCCAAGAGCAAATAAGACATAAATAATCCAGATTAAGTGGAGACAAAGGACCTGAGTACATTTTTAAGGAAGGATACACACCACTGGCTAATAAGTCTATGAAAAGCATCAGCAATCATCAAGAGGATGTACTAAAACCCACAATGCCATATCCCTTCAAAACCTGTTTGCACGGCTACTATCAAAAAACTCAAAATCAACCCGTGCTGGTGTGGAGGTGGAGATACCAGAACTCATTCACACTGCAGACACGAGTGTCCTATGATCCAGCACTCTCATCTCTGGAATTACACCCAGAAGAATAGAAATCAGTGTCTGGAAGAAACAGGTGCACATGGGACAAAGGGGACAGAGGAGAAAGGAAATGAAGGAATCTCCTCATGTTTAAGTGTCCTACAGTTCAGAAGTCTGAAAACAGAGTACGCTGGCTAGAAACATCTCTTATCCTTCAAGAAGGGGTAAGAAGGGTCCCGCAGTTGGCTTGCAGTTTGTTAAAGCTGCTATTGCTACCGCTGGCCACAGGGCCCGGGATCAAGACTATCTCCGATTCATTTTC